CTGTCTGCAGAGCTTTGATTCATTTCCAAAGTTGTGTTCATGAAAAAAAAAAAAATAAAGACGCCAGGTAAACCTGGCTTCCACTAACTGCTGCTGTAACTCAAAGCATAAATATGTATCTTGATTTCATGTGTACATTGGAACAAAAGTGATTTTAATAAAATACCATCAGTATAATTGTTATAAAGCAAGTGCCTGAACCAACCAATGAAGCAATACTCGCTCCTATATGCCCCAGATGGGTGTCTAGGTTTTTGAAATCTCCTTCTCCTCATATATTGGGTTCATATATCCTGAGTGGTGGCTAGCCTCCCAACCCCTCCCCCAAACCTCCAGCATGCACCATTTGTGAGCAGCAGAGATGGGTGGCAGCTCTCCTGGCTCCATCAGGAACATTTCCTAGAAATGCTTTGTGTCGAACATGCTGGGCTGGGGCTTTAAGACTGTCTTTTCACTTCCTTCTAGCATAGGCATGTTCACGGTATTCCAGCCATGGGTCAGCCCCTTCCTGAGCACCAGAACAACACCTCCTTGGGACCATCACATCGTTCAGCGGCCTTCAGCATCATGTAGACAGTCAGTGTTTAATACCTACACTAGCTTATGGTCCTAAACTTGCAGTCATTCTGCTCCAGTCTATAAATCTGAGTAAGCATCTTTTATAAGTGTTGCATCCTGAGGAGAACTGTACCTGGACTTAGTTTTGACTATTCATACTAGCTTGGAATAGGCTCAGGAAAACCATCTTAAAATTTCATAATTTAAGTTGAATTGAAGTGTTTGTAAGGTACATGTGCCTGTTTTTCTTTTAAAATGAGAGAAGGAAATGAACACAAACAGTTCATCTTTTATATTCTTCTTATGAACTGTCACATATCATAGTTTATACTGAGACCAATGTGTGAGGTTTTGGTACCTAAGACTGCTTAACTAAATTAGTACCCATTGACTGAGGAGATAGTTCAGTATCTTGGCCAAATGGATGAACCCCAGGTGCCAGTGAGTGAGAGACCTTGTCACAAAAGAATAAGATGGATGGTTCCTGGGGAATGCCATCCAAGTTGACCTCTGACCTCCATACAAATACATACACACATACACACACACACACACACACACACACACACCTACACATATTCAGGCACCTGCACACATAAACATGCACACATATCAGAATACAAACAAAAATTCATATAATATTTGATTAAAGAAAAAGAATTATCTCTAATCATTGCTCAAATACATAAACTGCAATTGAATAACCTAGGAAGATAATAGATTTTTAAAAACTGATAGGTGAGACAGATAAAAATTTATAAAAGTTAAAAAGATTATATAACCAAATTAAAAAGCCAGTGCAGAAGAACTCTGGACCCAAGGAACAGAAATCCTTTTAAAAGACATTTTAATGCACAAAATTAATATTCATAAAGGCAAATGAATGCAACATTTTAAAAGAAGTGTCCAGAGACCACACATCCACACTAGAATTTACCAAAGTTCTCAGATTTTATCACAAAGATAGCTTTAACACCAATACAATTAAATTAGAAATCAATACGAAAAAGATGGAAAAGTGTTCCCAAAATGATAACGATTCCAAAATAATCCATGGATTAAATGATGACATTTTAGAGTGGAATGACTATCAAGAGCACATTATATGTCAAGATGCCTGATGATCAAGTCACATGGCACTTGGGTTGGGTTGATAGCTTGAAACACATTTATTAAGAAGAAAACATACAAGTGCTACCAGACCCAAGCTGGCTCAAACCTGTGTTTTCTATGTCTTTAGGTGTCATTGTAAAATGAATGAAAGTATGCAGCTGTTCCCACCATGCCTGTCCACGACAGCTACAGACTTCTGAGCTGTCAGATAGTGATTAGAACTGTGTGATGGTTTCCACGTCTATGTCAATAAGATTCAGTTCTTAATGGTTAGACTTCTGCAGCTTTACTGTTTTCAAACTCAACTGCTTGAGGATAAAAATATCATTAATAAAGACTCACTTCTGTCTTGACATTATAAGTCGTTTAATACTTTCAAGTCTGCCATGTTCATTGTTGTTTTCCTCTTCTAATTTGTATATTTCCACTGTTAATGATTTCTGGAAGATATCATTAGAAATTAAGATATCAGAGGATCAGGTATGCTGAGTTTCTTCTTGTTATGTTTATTATCTTCAGAATTTCTAAATGAAAATAAGAAACCTGTAACATGTACAAATAGCTTTTTAATTGGTAAGGATGTAATCACTCCCATTGTAATTTCTTGATATTACTTAATTATTGTGTCCTCCTTGATATCATCACACCTTCTCCTTGTAATAGGAAGGATAATTTGGCATTGATGACAGATACAATTCATAGCATGCATAGTAGAGAATGACAATTTCAAGACTGTTAAATTACCAAAAGTAGACTTCCATCTATAGGATCCCTGGGAAACTTGTAAATGCAAATTATCATTACAGCTGAAGAGCCATCATAGATCAGGTGAAAGTAATTTTGAAGTATGTGTATTTATGTGTGTGGGGAGATAAGGCATGAAACTAGAAAATGGGCCATGAGAAAGAGGAAGACATCTGAAGGTAGGGGAAAGAAAGAAGCATCGAATACAT